TCAGTCATTGCTACTCTCTCTATTACTTTCCTCCATTCTCTTGCTACTATTACTATGTTACTTTCTACTTCTAAAATCTCTGCAATTATTTTATTTATATGATCTTCTAGATTTATAACTGCATCGCTTCCTTCTGCTATTATTTCTTTGCTATATTCTTTTGTTACTACTTCAACTAATCTTATTGCTTTTGTTCTGTTCCATATACTTTTAAATTCTTCTTTTATTTATTTAGTTCACTAAGTATTAATTCTAGATATAACTTAGTCTTTTTTCGAACTTTCTCAGGAATTTATTCAAATTGTCTATAAACTGTCTGGTTTTAGTCTTGTATAATTCGTCTATATTACTTGATACATGATATGTAAATTAGTAATGTGTTTATTATTTACCTATTTTGCACGTGTTTGTATTATATATACTGATTTGCAATTCAGGGTATTTTGCAATTCTTAAATTTTCTAACAAAAATTTCTTCATAGCAAAAATTTTGTCTAAAAATCTTTTGAGTCTCATCTTGTGTTATAATTTTCCTATTTTCCTTCTTTTCTATATATAATTCTCTTTTTAGAGTCTTTCTTCTTAATATGCTAGGAGGTGTTATTTAGTAAGTTCAGTATTTTTTCTATGTGAAAACCTTTAGCTCAAATTTGTGCCTAAATGATCTACAGAGAGAGTGTGATGATACTTTAACTGTAGATCACTAGATATTGCTAGCTTAATTGTTGAAAACTATATTATTATTTTATTAATTTGTGATTTTTACTATATAAGTTTTTTGTTTATAGATCTTATCAAGATTTATTTATATAATATTATATTATATTTCTAATATTCAATTAATATTAATACAAGGTCTGGTGATTTTAGTATAGTATTTAGATTACCAGACCGCTATACAAGAGATCTGAGGTTCAAATTCCACTATTGACAAATTTGAATAATTACTTAAACCTTTGTATATAGATGCTAGTGAAACTAGTGAAACTCTTGATGAATGGTAGTAAATAGTGGTGAAACTAGTAAAATTTAATATAACAACTAATCATATTTTAGATAGTCACCAGTTTCACTAGCATTATTTAGTTTCACCAGCATCTATACCTTTGTACCTAACTTACAGTAAACTCTATCCATTTCTGGAGTTGTAACTCTGTAAATTACATTGCATCAATATCATCTGAATATTAGAAGTATAACAAGATGTTTGAAGAGATATAATATTACACAAATAAATTTTAATAGAATCTATAAGCAGAGAATCTGTATAGTAGAAATCCTGAGTTGGTAAAGTAGTATAGCTTTTGATAGTTATACTAGCTAACATTTGATTTTGAAAGGAAACTATTATTAAAAGATGCAGATCGAGTCAGATATACATAAATCTATTCTATAAGAAGAATTAGTAACACTAACTTGGCTTGGCAGCTAACTAAATTGAAAAGATCTGCCTTGTGAAATATTCATGAAAATAGAATACAAAAAATTAGTGGAGAGCCATGGTAGCAACTAAAGTCATATGAACATCTATAAGAATCTAAACTAGGTGAATTTATAAAATAAGTACAGACTATTCTAGTAAATATGCTTTGAGGTTAACTGACTTTATAATATCTACAATGTGTTAGGTATAATGTATTCTAAGAGGACCAAAGCTGTTCTGAATAAATAGATCCATAACAAGCTAGTTAGCTTAAATGATTAAATATTATAGTAATATTAGATTAGATCTGTATGAGTTAATGGACAAAGTGTTTAAATAAGTAACTCACAAGTAGGTTATAAGTATAGTAGCATAGTGTAAAACTAATCAGATAATCTAATTGTCTATATAATAGACTACTTAAAATAGACAATGACTAAAGTTATATATGTGACTTATTATACACTCTTTATATAATTACAAACAGTAGAGACTATCAATATATATTCTATATACAATTCTAATAAAATTCCTTCAGCAATGTAAGCTATCTTAATAACAAAAAAAAAAGAATTAATATTAATACAATATAATTTATAGAGTTATACTTTTTACTGAAAGTTAAATATAAATATCTAAATAATTATTCAAATTTATTAATAGTAAGATTTGAACTTTAGACTTCTTATATAGTAGTCTAATAATCTAACTACTATATTAAGATTACTAAACCTTAATAATATAATAATTAAAAAATATACTAAAATCAATTTTGTAATAATATGTTTATAAGAATACTCAATTATAATAATTAACTCTTTCAGATGATTATCAAAACCAAAATAACAAGACAACAAAAATTTTTTTTCTTGTACTACTATCTAGTAAAACTACTTAAAGTGACTGACTATACAAAGAATAAACTACGAGACTGTAATAAGCCAGTAGCAAGAACTGCAACAAGTCAGTTTCAAGGTTATACTGGGCTCTTTGGCTGTCTAACTTTGGCAAGACAACTTTAAGTTAGTTTAGTAGAAAGATGTCGATAGTGAAAAGAAGAAGTATAAGAAGGACTCCAACTATACTTGTGCTAGGTCAAGCATATAACCACTTTCTTAGTTTTGTTTTTTTTAAAAACTGCTTCCTTTATTTACAACAACTAGACTTTTGGACTTGGAATTGTTTTCCTTTGTTTCTCAACAGCAAAAAGTAGAGATTTGGCTTACTTCTGCTAAAAGATCTATATTCGTACTATGTCTATTTTGGAAAAGTTATATTGTATGCTACTAAACAATAACAACTCACAAATATATGTAGCTATATATTACAAGTTAATATTTGTTAATGTTTTCGTTAGAGGATTACATGAAACTGTGTCCTGTTAGACAAGTAAGAAATAGACTTGATAGAATTAGTTGATATTACAAAGATATATATATGAGTAGTAATAATATATATAATTTTTAATAGTAGTACTTGTCTTTGAGCTTGCTCTTAAGTGGAACTACTTTAGGTTTTTCTTTTCCTTTTTTATTTTTATATCAAAAAGAAAATTTCTGTTCATTTTATTTTCTGTTTTGTTTGTTTTTGCCTACACTTAGATAGCAAGCTTTTTACTTGTTAACAAGTTTTTCTTGCTATTTTAGTTTAAGTTCTTATAGCATGTAGCTTTTCTACTTTTTGTTATTTGTAATAATTTTTATTTTTTTCTATCTTGGGACTAGGTATTAACAACTTTTAGTTTAGTCTTAGATTAGATTAAGAGAGACCTAGGATCTTGATGTAGGCTAGAAGTTATTTTTTTTTAATTATTAGTAACCTATGTTACTTTGATAGTATGTTACTAATAAGAGATAAAATGCTTTTGCAGCAGATTGAACTTGAATACTATCTGAGCAGCTGAGTTAGTTCTAAATTGCAACAAGAAGAGTAGTAAAGTATTATGTTAAGATGTAGTATTTTATATTGCCTGTATTATCTTTTGATGATTCTCCTAATAAAATGAAGGACAAGATTGTCTAAGTGGAAAAAAATAATATATTTATATAAAAATTTTATATAATAAATTTAGTTTTTTAAAGATATTTTAGCAACTATTAGACTAATTTAAATAATCTAACTATTATTAAATATATCTTAATGAACTCTACAACTTTCAATTAATTAATTAAGTCTATTAATTTAGTATAAAAAAAAGTTTTACATTTACTAAGTATAGTATTTATATATAATTTATATATATAAACTACATTACATTATACTATAATCATTTTCTAATTGATTAATAGATTATTAATTAAAGTTTTAATTTTAATAGCTTAAAATAATTTATAAATATATTTGTAATTAAACCTTATAATTCTTTTTTATATATATTGTTTTTTATAATACTCTCAATATAACTTAGTATAACAATAACTTATTTCTAATCTATTTATAAGTTATCTATTTAAATATTCTGATTATATAATCTAATCTAAGTAAATTTGGTATATGGCATGCTCCAAAAATTTCCCGTGCTACCTACGGGCATAACAGCATAACGGCATAACGGAAATACGTAGAGGTGCGATCCGTTTGACGATCTTACTCTAAAATCAATTATCTAAAAATAGATAATATATAAATTATTGAACGGATCGCATCTCTAGCAATAATAACGGCAATACGGCATACGGCCCCCGGCAACTATAATCCAATGCTTTATTTACTATCGCTATGAAAAATAAATCAATTATTTTATGATGTATTTATAAATTAACAGTATAGCGATAGTGAATAATACTTTATTGCAAGTAATTTGTAGTTTACAGTTGTTTTCATATGCAAAATCTGGGACACCTAACTCGGATAGTCGAATTTTTAATCAGATTTATAACCCCAGTTTTCAACCAGTTAGAAACACCCTGCAGTTATTACAAGCGAACTATTTATTATCAGGCAGTACATGACTAATAACTATTAAGTATATCCAACTAATTCCTTTAATTCGCATTAATCTATTGTGAATAATTTTAGCAAATTTTTATTGTGTATGTACAATTTGAACGTTTTTTAATAATACCTTAATATCCTTCCGTGCCGGCCATAATGAATATAATAAATATAATGAATATTATAATGTAAAATTTTGTATAAATGGTAATCTTATGATAAGACCATACAAAAAAATTTTTTTAGGTTTTCATAACATGAAGTTTTTAAACCGACCCAGCCAGCAGGTTTTTTTTTTTTTTCTTTCAAATTTATATAACTTAATAACTTATTTTAAAACTTTTTTTTTTTTAAAAAAAAAAAGAAAAAAAATTCATCATGATATTGAATCATATTAAAAATTTGGGTTTAAATTTTTTCAAAATTTAACCCGGCCAGGATACGAAAACCAACTTATATATTTTTTTGTATCGCCCAAGAAAAAAAAAAAAATTATATATGAATTAAACTATAAAAAAAAGAAATAAAAAACTATTCTTTGCCCAACATCAAATGCTCATCATAACCGACTTTAATTTGCAGAAAAAAAAGAATAAACTTTAAATCAGATTATCAGACAAAAAATCGGGTATCACGCAATAAATTACGAACCTCCGTAACATATATTACATGATGTGATCCTTCTTCCATCAACAATTTTACCAGATATCAAAAATGGATCTGGATGTGGTTTGCAAGAACCAGTACCACAATAAAATCTAAAGCAATCCGAACATCCACGATCCATATCACAGCTTACACAAAAGTTTTTCAGAATTTTGCAAGAAGAGCATGGAATAGTTATAGTGATATTTGTTCGACATGTTTTACATGTATCTAAAATAGAATAATTGAAAAAAAAATAAATAAATAAACATAATCAACATTATCTTATAAATACAAATTATCAAGTAAAATACGTTACCAACATCAAGTTGTATTGGTTTTTCAGTTTTTAATTGTTTCAAAGCTTTCAAAAAACCGATCAGCACTGTCCTATAATAATAGCTTACATCCCCTACATTTAAATTTAAACGTTGCCTTATGATCGCTCTTGGACTCATGTCTTTACACCACAGAACATGTAATTTTTTTAATTTTAATACGGGTTCTAATGGTTCAAACCAAGTTAGAGCCGTACCCAAGTCACGTAAAGAGAGATTTGAACAACCTCGACAACTTATTTCTTCAAGGTTCAAGAAACCGTTTATAGATTCCCAAATAGAAGTACAGTTAATAGAAGTGAAATCAAAGTTTATGGAACAAACTACAGACGACAAGTTATTTTTTCGTAACATAGTAAGAAGTTGACGAGCTCTTCTATCATCGATACGGGATAATTTATAGGGAATTTTAAAAGTAGTAAGTTTAGGAGGGAAAGATTGATTTAAAAATTGTTTTTCGATTTGATATTGTTCTTCAAAATTTATGAAACGAATATGACGCCATAATGGAGGATGTTTAAGGACAAAGGTCAAGTCTTTGCAAGAAAGTGCCAATGCGTTAAGTGAATAAACATCAATATATAAACATATATCAACGATGATTTCGAAGGGAAAATTTATAAATTGCATTTTTTTTTTTCTAAATATTCTAAATATTCAAAAAGGGCGTGGCAAAAAAAAGTTTTAGAAAAAATTTTTATGGAGTGACACAGCGATCTTGTGTCACTCACCAATAAGCTTGGACCAGAGCTACAAAAATTATGGGCTTTTTACATAATGAGGATTACGTACTTATGTACTTAAGTACAGTTACAAATAAAATCCAAAACCACTTATAAAATAAAACGATCATTATCATTATTACTTTAATTTTAAAAAAAGCAGGAAATAGTAGAAGAAATTAAAAGATGCCATTGGTGCATACAGAAGATCAATATATTTACACGAGAAAATTAGGTAAGATTTTCTGAACTAATTAACCAAAAGTTTTACATTCACTTTGTGAATATTAATAAGCGATTTTTTTGAGTACCAAGAAAAATTACCATTTTTCGTAAAGATGAAATTAAATAAAATTCGTCATACAGTACAAGTAAAATTTCCTTAAATATTTCTCCGGGTATACAGCAGGGAGGCTCTTTTTATAAATAGTAAAAAATCTACATTTAAAGCAGGGTGTCCAAAAGTAGGCAGGGTATGTTATCTATGGTCAAAAACACATACGGTAAGTGAATGCATACTCTATCGATCTTCCCAATGACATCATTTCATCTGTACCAGTGGTTTTGATAATAATGCATTTGAAAAATTTGAAAAGGAGACCAACTTATCCGAATGCGTAATCGGATGTTCACTCCATTTGACCACATGATATTATCGATTAGATTTTACCGCTTAAATAATAATGTACTACGTGGTACACAATTTTTAAGAATAAAGTTATAATTTTACCATTTTTTCATTTACGTAATTATTAATTGTTTAGCAATACATAATGATTGTTGGTTTATAAATTAAAAGTCTTTATTTTTTATTTATTTATTTATTTTCTTTTTAAACAAAGAAATAATAGAATGAATAAAATAAACTCGAGAAATAAACCTTATATCTAACAACTATCTACACGTGATCTTTAAATTATCATCCAATTATTTTACAATTATGGTTGTTTCTACCAATTAGCAACCTTAAAGTCCTTAATTACTTTTTTAATTTTTCGAGTTCTTTCATATTTTAATATTTGTTGAGTTTGTATATGTAATAATTCCAATCCATTATTTCTCTTGAAAATTAGGTTACCTCTAACTCTCTGTCGATCTGCGCCACGTATTATACTTTCTCTATTTTCTCTTCTCATTTCACTCCCTCTAAAACATAATCTTTTCAAAACAACATCTAAATGTTCATTTCCAAAACATCTACTCCATAAAATTTCCAATTTTTTCAATTTTAATGTAGGATTACTTAAAAATAAATCTAAACTTTCTGGTGTATATGTCCAACATGAATGTATGCTTAAATTTTCCAAGTAATTCAAATTGACTAAACTAAATTTTTGAAGTACATTATTTACATTTATTTCCGGATGTCTTGGTCCGAATATCGTTAAAGTTTGTATGGTTGAACATGAAAAAAGTAATGTATGTAAATATGGTAATGAATTGGCATCAACATAAATTTTCGCTAAAGTTAAATTTTGACAATATTGTGATATAGCTTGCATAACTCGATTTGGTGAAAATGTTTGTTGTTGTTGTTGTTGTTGTTGAGGAGAAGATAATGTTCCTGAAATAATCGATGTATTTAATGTAGAAGGTGGTGTAAATATATTGGAAATTACCAATTCTTTTAAACTATGATTTGCCCTACGTAAAATTGTTTCAATTACTCCGCATGGTGCTGATGAAATTTCTAATTTTTCTATTCTAGATTCAAAATCATTAATATCAGTCATATCATCTATTCCAGTTGATAAACTAACGACACAGGTTGATAAATAATAGCATGAATTCAGCAAAAGTTCTTCTAAATTTGCAAGTTCAATTAATCTAAAAAGTGGTTTCCAATCCTTGAAATTAACTTTAAAAAATGTAATGTTTCGCAACGTATTTATTTGTGTAATTAATGCTGAAATTATTTCACTTAATCCTAATTCTGTATATCCAAGTTCAAATTCTTTTAACTCTTGTTGAGATCTGATCAGTGTCGAAATACCTTCAACTTGTGCATTTAAACTCTCTATTCCATGTTTTAATAAATTTTTTGGGTTAACAATTGCAGGTGGGATATCCATCCAAATTTTTATAGTTTGTAAATGATTTGCGAATCTAGAAAGTGTGTAAAATAACTGTGCATGGCATGGCGTTTTACAGATCAAACTAGTGAGTTGAGAGAGTCGATGATTGGTGTTTGGAAGGAGTGTATGTAACCACAAATGGGGTTCTATTACACAAGATCTTTGGTTAGTAACACGCAAAGTTCTAATGATAACTGAATTATTCATTAAAAGTTTTCCAAGAATATTTGTGTTGAGTAAATATGCAACAATAGTGTCACATCCACTTATTGATGTGGATGTCATGATCCTTTTACATCCTACAAGCTGCGGTTTTACTACTGTTTGTCCAAAAACATTCATGTTGAACGAATGTAATTTAGCATGAAAAAAAGTTGGTTGATTTATAAGTTTACCCTGCCCTGTCTGTAAATATCCAAATACTGCTTCTGAAAATTCACTGATATCTAGACATTTTAAAAATTGAATATAGTTAAAAATGGGTAGTTTATAAGGTTGACGACTACAGGTTTCCTGATCTTGGAGGCATGACATATATATTCCGAGAAGACTAGCTGCCCTTTCAGTCCATGGTAAACATGTTTTTTTATCTCTAAATGCATGTAAAAATCTAAATGGTTGACTCCATAAAATCACAACTGCGCTTTCACACCACTGAGTATTGACAAGAATACAGGAATGCAGTGTATTTGAATCCTCATCAAGGTATGTGAAAATTTTTCCAAGACAATCTGCTGGTAAATGTTTGGACATTTTCATTAAAAGTGGAAAGGGCCAAAAATGATTATGATATTACTGAATGCGGCTTTTTATACTGATCTAAAATCGGTGTAGTACAACTTCAGAATTTGAGATAACCATACCGATACCGATAATACCTTTTGTGTTTCTCATTTTACGTAATTCGGGTAATTTTAAATTTTGCGAGTAATTAAGTGTTGCACAAACAATCGACATCATTCGCTTCTTTTGATTCGTGCTATCACGTGATCTAAGCTTAAGATACAAAGTACTTTGTACCGTATGTAAGCCATTTTACCAATTTATTACATACTGAAATCTTTGGAGAATGCTAATTATGTATGCATAATAATCGAAATATGGAAAGGTGAATGTGGAGGTCTCATGATTCTAGGAATCTGTAAAAAGAAAATCTTAACAGAATGTTTTCCGTACGTACAAAAAAAGAAAACATTATCTATTATACGTAACCTTTCTTTTTTATTATCTATATGCTCTTTATGCATAAAGAATAATGTTAAGCATAGGAATGTTCTCGATCTTTTTTTTTACGTAATTGTTTCATGCGAATCAAAATGCATGCTATTTATACCTTATTATCGTCACGATTTCTAACTAAACTCGTAAGTCAATATTTTTGTTTCCTTTTTTTTTTAGAATTTTCTGATTCATATGTTTCAATGCTATATAGATGATTTGATTAAACATGCAACTATGTGATTTACAGAGATTCTAAAATTCGCCTCATGATATATTCTTTTTCATATCACATACCTATTATGGGTGCCGGATATTTATCTTTCCGTTATCGTTATCATTTCAAATCTTTCATTATAAAAAGTGTAGATCATATATTTAAATGATAACTTATAAAAGCCAATTAGCTTTTGTTCCGTACAAGCAATAAAAATCACAGGATCGTGAGTTAATTTTATTGTTATATTATAACATCATTCCATTTTTATTCGACAATATGCAATTTGTGAAGCATTGTAATCAACCTCTTTAACGATTCAAGCAGGAATAAACCTGCGATAATCTTTTCTTAATTATCACTCTTATATATATGCCTGTAAAAAGATTATCATTTCAATACTGAAATAGGGTTTTTACCATTACTGAATTTGGTTTCAGCAAACTTGATATTAGATACTTATTGCTTATTCACATGTTGTTACTTAAAACCTTACCAAATTTAATGATTCAACAAATTTTTTTTTAAGAAAAAGAATTTATCAATCCTACAGTTATATCGATATAGTTATGTCACTAGTCTTAGCGTAAGACCATACGTAACCAGGTAACAGGTAATTTTTTGTAATTTGGTAATTATGCAACACCGACGTAAAAAATATGTAATGAATGAGGATTTGCCGGGTATATTGGCTCTTAAAATTGCGATCAGACTTCTTTTTTTTTTTTAATTATGATATCACTACATAGTTCGGGTTTGGGATTTTCTACTACTTTATTTTAAAATAAAAACCAAAACTGTCCATCTTTGGTTAATAGTGTCAAACCCAAAACCAATCAAATTTTATTTAGTCAATGCTTAAATTATTAGAGTATAGTTTGGAATCGGTTTTATTTTTCCTAGCTTTGATTCAAGAATTCCACTTGTACTGAACCTTGACTTGTAGGATGTCTCGGTCTACCATTAATAATTTGAATTGTGGGCTATAAACGAACTAATTCGACAATCACTGAAGAAACAAACTAACTCCTTTCCATTATGTAATTGAAGAATTAGTGGCGGTCCAAATGTAGTGAAAATCTCAAACAAGAAAGCTGCAACTTCTACTGCTCGCTTAAAGGTAAGTGCACTGGCCCAGGAATATCTTGTAAAGTGGTCACGCACGTGAGCAATATATTTAATGTTTAAAGGTCATATCAATTAAAATCAATCTACTTAAAATATTGAATACCAATTTTAAATACAATACTGTAATTAAATGTTATCGTTATTAATAATAAATACTTGTAATCGTGACATTAATTTTTGTTCAATAATTGGAATCCCAACTAAAGGTCGAATTTTGTGTATGCCTTGCTGCGCAAATATTAAAAGTTTCCCAAGATCTTGATCGCGCGTAATGTGCTATGTACGGTATTTTACAAAATATGGATTACAACCCATTTTTGACCTCGTAACGAAAAGAAGTATACAGTGTAGAATTCGTGGGGTTAAGAAGAACTTCCTTAATGTTTTTTACAGTTTTTCTTAATTGGTCAATGCCTTTTCTCTCTTATTCTGCGCCAAACTTTCAATATATCGTTTAACCAAGTTATCAAATGTTGTGAAATATAGTTCAATATTTATCGTTATGGTGTAAAACCACCATAAGTGAGTTTTGATATCCTATATTATGATAATATAATTATTTTTTAATTATTGATTATTCAAAATCAAGTAAAATGCTCAAATTTTGTAAAGGTTAACTTATCTACTATTTAAAAAACCTGAAGACTTTCAAGAATATAGCAATAATAAATTCAAAAAGAAGATATGAAAAAGCGAATAAAGAAAAAATCATTAACATAAAAGAAAATACTACATAAAGCGATTTGACACAAGCTGTATATGATTCATTAATTTCTATACTAAAAATTGATAAAATGTTGGAAGGCAAGATTGGGTTTTTCTTTGAAAGTTCTGTTGATTTTACAAAACTTTTATTTTCAAAAAAGTGACTCTGAATTTTTTATTTCAAATAAAAGAGACAAAAGATGAAGAAACAAGTATATGAAACAAATTTCAAAACAAATTAAGCAAAATGGTTAATAATCCGAAGGTCTTGAAAATGAAAAAAAAATTCAGAAAACATAAGAGAAAAAAAATAAAAATACATTTTATTAGAAATATATTATTTTAAAATTTATATATATATATATATATATATTACTATTAGGGTGGTTTATATTGCTGAGTAGATTTTATTAGTTTGATATATAGGTAATCTTC